CTTTGATTCCCTGCCCCCTCCCCCTCCCTCTCTTCTCTCTCTGCACATGCACACATGTACACACTGGTCCTAGGGCTTGAACTCTGGGCACTGTGCCCAAGCTTCTTTTGCTCAAAGCTAGTTCTCTACCACTTAAGCCACAATGCTACTTCTGGCCTTTTCTGAGTAGTTAATTGGAGATAAGAGTTTCACAGACTTTTCTGCCTGGGCTGGCTTTGAGCCATGATCCTCAGATCTCCTCAGCAACCAGCGCCCAGTTCTCTTTCATTTAAAAAATCTGTGTGTGTGTGTGTGTGTGTGTGTATGTATGTGTACGCGCATGTGCATGTGCATGCTAGTGTGACTCCTGACCACAAAAAGGGCGTTAGTGAATGTATCGACTGAATGCAAGAATATACACGTACATTGACTGGGTGCTAATTTGGGAAAGTTATTTTTTAGCCAGGCACTGGTAGCTCACGCTTGTAATCCTAGTTTCTCAGGAGGCTGAGCTCTGAGGATTGGAATTTGAAGCCAGCAAAGAGTCTGTGAAACTTGTATCCTCCAATTGACCACCAAAAAGCCCAAAGTGGAGCTGTGGGTTCAAGTGGTGGAGTGCTAGCCTTGAGCAAAAAAAAAAAGCTAAAGGATAGCTCCCAGGCCCTGAATTCAAGACCCAGCACCTGCACACACACACAAAATTAAATAACTAACGTCATGATTAAATGCTGTAGAAAGTCTTCAGATCAACAAGCAGGAAAAGCCAAAAAGTAGAAGGTAGCCATAAAGACTCCTGAGACCACCTGCCCCTTACGAAAGGCGAAACATGAAACACGCAGGAGAATTTGATATTCACACAGTCCTCAAAGTGATCAAAGCAACCAAAGTAGAAGTCTTATTTATACAACAAATGTCTCACCAAAGAGCCAATTCCGTGTCAGAAACATGGAAGAGGAGGCAGCTCCCGGTTCGTGGTGGGGTGCTGTCTGTGGGGTGCCCAGGCCCCAGGGCATGGGGAGACTGAGGCCCCCTGTGCTCTTAGAAGTGGACTCGCCACTACTGTGCCATTGCCGACGCCAAACTGTCCTTCAGCGACGACATCGAACAGAACGTGGAGGAGGAGCCACCCCAGGTACGTCGCCGGGTCTCTGCCCGCCCCGAGGTTGGCTGGCAGGTGTGTGTGTGTGTGTGTGTGTGTGTGTGTGTGTGTGTGTGTGTATGTGTGTGTGTGTGTGTGTGTGTGTGTGTGTGTGTGTATTCTGGGTCCTATTGAGTTACCACTAGGGTACCTGAGCCTAGCTGACTCTTTTCTGATTGGCTAACTCAACCCTGGTGATCAACCAATAAGATCCTCTTTCTGACTCTTTGCAGGGCCTGATTGGCCCTTGGGAGGGGAGGACACTGGCCTCTCCCTCTGGCCCGTGCTGGTCCCTAGTTTTCTGCCCAGGTCCTTTCAGCCGCTGGCTGTCTTTGGATTGGTGTGTGTGTGTATGTGTGTGTGTGTGTGTGTGTGTGTGTGTGTGTGTGTGTGTGTTTCAGCACTGGGCTTGAACCCAGGGCCTTATGCTTTTGCTTGTCTGTGTTTTGCTCAAGGCTGGCATTCTACCACTTGAGCTACCGCTCCACGTCCAGCCTTTTGCTGGTTCACTGGAGATTGGAGTCTGGTGGACTCTTCTGCCTGGGCTGGCTTTGAACTCTGATCTCAGCCTGCTGAGTAGCTGGGATTACAGGTGTGAGCCACCAGCACCCGGCTTCTCAGCCTTCTTGTAGAACAGAACGGAGGGCTTTCCTGTGGACCTCTGCCCCTGTGTCCAGACTCGGGAGGCGGCAGGCAGGGGGAGGCAGGGGGAGCCTCCTCCACTGCCCCTCGTCTCTGCCGCCCAGGATACTCCCCCCACGGAGCTGCACCTAGGGGAAAAATGGTTCCACAAGAAGGTGGAGAAGAGGACGAGCGCGGAGAAGCTGATGCAGCAGTACTGCCTGGAGACGGGGGCCAAGGATGGCACCTTCCTGGTGCGGGAGAGCGAGACCTACCCGGACAACTACACGCTGTCCTTCTGGTGCTGCGCCCGGGCCGGCGGGGGGCGGGTGAGGTTGGGCCGGGCTGTGGAGGGGGGGCGCCGTGCTGACCCTCCCCCCGCCCCCCAGGCGCTCAGGCCGCGTGCAGCACTGCCTCATCCGCTCCACTGTGGAGGGCGGGGCCAAGAAGTACTACCTGACCGACAACCTCACCTTCCCCAGCATCTACGCGCTGGTCCAGCACTACCGCGAGGCGCACCTGCGCTGCGCAGAGTTCGAGCTGAGGCTCACGGACGCCGTGCCCAACCCCAACCCGCACGAGTCCAAGCCGTAGGTCCTGGCCGTGGGGGGCGGGGGGGGGCTCGAGCCCGGCTCCCTGAGCGGCCAGGGGGCTGGGGGCCCAGTGCTGCTAGTTGTCACCTTTGCCTTGAGCTTCACCCCTTCCCTTTCCTCCCCTCCCTCCCTCCTCCTTCTTTGCCCTCCGCCTCCTCCCAAGGTCCTAGGCCTTGAGGTCTGTTGTCTGGAGTCGTCTGCGGCTGCCGGGGTCTGCTGGGATTTCGGGGTGAAGCTGTCCGTGTCCCTGAGCCCCCAGGGCAGTGGCCAGGCTGACGCCCCGTCCCCCCACCCCGCTGCAGGTGGTACTACGGCCAGCTGAGCCGGGGCGAGGCGGAGGACATGCTCATGCGGGTCCCCCGCGACGGGGCCTTCCTCATCCGGCGGCGGGAGGGGACCGACTCCTACGCCATCACCTTCAGGTAGGCGTGGCGGGGGCACCCTCCCCCAGGGGGCCTGCGAAGGCCGGGGGAGCACGGGCCCACGCTTGGGGTGCAGGCCGGCCCTTTGGTGGCCTCTCTCCAGCATGAACGTTGAAGTTTAGTAGCTTGTCAAAAGACACAGATAGTGGAGCTGGGACTGGAGCCTGGGATGCCCAGATCCGACGCCATAGATCTGACATTACAGACTTGACGTCACAGCTCTGATGTCATAGGCCTGACACCAGGTCTGACGTCACAGATCTGACATCATAGACCTAATGCCACAGATTGGATGTCACAGGTCTGATGTCACAGATCTGCCGTCACAGATGTGACATCATAGACCTGACGCCATACACCTGGCTCCCCCCACCAGTGCTGGCACCCAGGCATCTCTAGGACTGAGGTCCATCGCACCCCAAACACCACGCTCCCCGTTCCCCTCCCGTCACCCCCCTCCCGTGCATTCTGCAAATAGCAATAGCCTAGCATATATTGAGTTCCTAACCCAAGCTGATTGCACCCTTAGCCATCGCCTGGGAAAGGCAGCCCTGTTTATTGCAGGTGAGAGACGTGGAGGCCCAGAGAGGTTTAGGGACATTTTAGGCATCACACAGCCTTACAGCTTTGAGTCAGGATTTCTGCCCGACTCCACAGCTTGTGCTCATTGCTCCAAAGTCTCCAGCGGGAAGATGGGCAGCCGGTTTGTCTGCTCCAGCCCTTTAAGGGTGGACCAGCGCCCCGGGGTGGCTGGTGGGGCTGCCATTGTGGTGGTTGGGCCTGGGCCCCCCCCCATGTGCCAACCCCCTAGTTCCGGCCTCCAGGGCCCGGGGCAAGGTGAAGCACTGCCGTATCAGCCGGGACGGCCGGCACTTTGTGCTGGGCACCTCCGCCTACTTCGAGAGCCTGGTGGAGCTGGTCAGCTACTACGAGAAGCACGCTCTGTACCGCAAGATGAGGCTGCGCTACCCCGTGACGCCCGAGCTGCTGGAGCGCTACAGCGTGGTAGGCACAGCCCGCCCCGGTCCCCGGGGCCTCTGCGGGTCCCCCATCCCCCCAGGTGGACGGGGGTCCAGGCTGCTCCAGGTCCTGGGGGAAGACACTTGCGCTCAGCAAAGGCAAGGCGCTCCCTGGCGACTGTGGCCTGTCTAGCTCAGACGAGGCAGCAGTAACGAGGGAGACACACAGAGCAAGGTGCCCGAGTAGCTTGCTGCAGAGATCAGGAATGGGGAAGGTGGGGGAGGGCAGGTAGAGGTGGGGAGGGCAGGTAGAGGTGGGGTGGGTGGCGGTTTTCGAGGGCTGCGCTGCTGCGTAGTGAAG